AATTATTTCAGGCCACTTTGGGTTGCAAGTAAATGTGATGAATAGATTTGGATATCCAGCCCACTTGCAGATTGCCATAGCGTCTTGATAATTTTGGATCATGTATCTTGCACCTCCTGTGAAGCTGGATGAAAGAATTACCCTTTTACCTTGAGAAGAATGATTTATCTCTCCATGTAAAACTGCATCTTCTAATCCTTTATACATATGAGCTCGCAATTGTTTTTGATGAGTTCTGATATACTTCAACCTAGACGATTCAACCATTGTAAATCCATCGACCAAGAATTGTTGAAATAATCGTCTTGAGTTCACAATTGTTGGTAATTCGCCATTCCTTTCTTGAATTTTGTATGCGAAATATTCACGCATGCTAACAAAATTCCTTCCTCCACTTGATTCGTCATTTCCATTTAAAGGAATGTCTTCCCTATAACCATCTTCACCTAATGGAAACAATAAAGGATACTGAAGACCTAAATAGGCAGCATTCAACTCATTTATCCTTTGTAGATGTCCAGACTGTGTTTCAACGATGATGTCTCGGTCACATCTAGATACATCAAAATCTCCCACTACCAAAGCAGCAACCTCTGAAATTGTTGGTAAGTTGTATCTTCTTCCATCATACTTACGTTTTCCTATCAATCTTAGTCTAATATTGGACTGACTATCTTCCTGAAATTTGTCTCTCACCATTCTAAATGACTTTGTCAAAACATTCTGCTCATCAAGCATTTGTTTAAGATCTTGAACAATTTCAGCATGAAGTTGGTTTATTCTATCACCACGACTGCATAAACATAGGTTTTGATAAATTTGGTCTAACTTATGTATTTGTTAGATTATTCATGCATATATAAATTTGTAATAATTAAATACTAACCTTAGTGCATGGATTCTATTCTGAACTTCGTTTTCTGTGTCGTATATATATAATTGGGCAAACTTGGGAGTGGATCCTTCAGGAGGCAATAAACTCACGATTTGATGATAGTTTTGTCCAGATAATTTGAATGTTCTTGGCCCCTTTGTTTGGTTGACAGAAGCATCAACTTTTCCTCCCATTGAGGTAAATGAAAACATTGAGTTATAACTTCTAATATTATCTCTGAAATGCTTACTTTTTGGACCTATATAACATTATTTGTTGGTGAATAAAAATTTATTCATATATTTGAAGATACTATTGAAGTATGGTAAAAGTAGATTTTATTGTTACCTGATCCGAATAATAATTGTTTTAAAATTGTGGGAGGTTCTTTTGGCTTTGGTAAGACTATCTTTCCATGATTACAACACAAAGAGAACTCTGGTTTTTTTGCTTTGATTTTCTTGTTGATTCTTTCTTCGTACCAGAAGTAAGCACCACAATGTTCACATTCATATGTAGGATCGCCTATATCCCAATACTCTATGAATAAAATAAGCAAATGTAAGATTAACGTAAAGGCGTGGTAAGCCTAGTTATTGTATATACATATTTTTAAAAAAAATATGCATAGCTTCATTGTCAATATTTCCATATCCAACATCAGGATCTAAATAGTATTAAAATCATATTATATTAGCTATGAAAATTGAAAAGGGGGACATGAATGAATCATTGTTTGGGTTAAGATACACATACCTTCATAGTCTTCTTCATCTTCAGTTGCATCATTAATTTCTTCGATTTTTTCCACGTATTATTACGTAAAGTAATTAATCACGATACCATTAATTTAAATATTAGTATAAAATTACTTTATTTGTGTAAATTAATAGCAAAATAATTTATTTATGAAGAACATACCTTCTACATCCCCATCAATATTGACATCGTCAAGTTCTAATAATAAATCATAATAAAATGTTGTTAGTATAAATAAACGATTCATGTTATATTACAATTTTTATTTATAATAACAACCTGGCAGTAGGGGTAACTCATTTAAATCAAGTAGAAGAAAATTTATCTCCACATTTGAAGTTGACAAACCAAATTGAGAATGTTGCTGGCGAGGTAAATTTGGATATTGTGACTGAGATTGAGACGATGAAGCGTGTGCACATCTCTCTAAAGGTTTATAATTTAATCGTGGGAAATGTTGACGGTTTGTTATGTCTTTTAAAGGTTGTGTTGCCTTTTCTTTTCCAAATCCATCTCCTGTGATAGTAGCAGGACAAATAAACTCTATAAACCATAAAACATACAACTTATCTAAGTTTAAAAAACTGGAAATAAATATAACAAATATGATGTTAGAGCAACATTGGGTACTACATCAATTTACAAAGACAGATGATAAGAAAAAAGAAGAAAAACGGATGTGTACACTAAACAATCATCATTTCCTATTCGATAATATATTTTAAAATCTCATCAACAAATTTAAAAAATAATCTACATGATGGATCGCTACTTTCCTTGAATGCATAGAGAAACTGATCACATGTTCCAAACACTGAAGGTATACAAAACATAACAATACTAACCAATACATTTAATATACAACGCGATGTGCACAATTTCAGGTTTAAATTAGTGTGAGGACTTTACTGTGACACAAACGAAATTAGCTAAAGGAAAATCATATATAACATAATACTACTTACGACTTATGTCGTATTTGGAACCCTTGAATACACATTTTTTAAGTATCATTATAATTTCTCTAAAACAGAAAGCTATCCTAATTGCAAAAGATAATTGTGAAAGCAAATAAGCATGAGAAACAATATTTGTCATGTATGTGTATATATCGAAGAAGCAATCTACAATAGAAAAGTATCCTAATTGATGTTTATGTTTATATATCGAAGAAGCAAGACAATGACTCATTACAAGCTTAAGTATTACATGATGGATCGCCAGCTTCGTTGATTGCATAGAGAAACTGATCCCACGATTCAAACAGTGAAGGTATACAATAGATAACAATACTAACCAATAAAGGTAATATACAACGCGATGCGCACAATTTAATGTTTATCTGATTCTGAGGATTTTACTGGGAATGAAAAGGAGTTATTACAAAGAAGTCTTTTGGTCAGTCTATTACAACTTCTAGCTTTCCTACTCGGCTTAAGAAGATCTAACCTTTCTACAATTTCCTTCTTAATCTGGCCAAAACTACCTCAATATGTACATTCTGATTTTTGAAAATTTTCCCGTTCCTTGCCCTCCAAGTATGGAAAATGATTGCTCCCCAGATAGTAGCCACAATTTCCTTTGTGAACTGGTTACAATGCTTCCTTCTGATCCTTTCCATAATCGTCTACACTTCCCCAGCTTTAAGCTGCATCCCCAACCAGCTAGATAACTCATTTCGTAGCTGCTTGGCCCAAGCACATTCTGGAAAAGATGGAGGGATGTATTTGCCGTCTGTGCAGTGCATAGACAGCATTCAGCAGAATCAACATGAATATTCAAATGTCTGAGCAGCCAAAGAAGAAATCTATGTTTTGGTTAAGCTATTGCTGTCCAAACTAAGTCATTTATCCCCTCTGCACCTATTCCTTAAGAAACTTGTCTTCTTTTGATGTGTTGGAATACATTTATCAGAGTGCTCAGAAATAATCTGATATCTTTTTCCCCTAGCCTCAGATACATAGTCATTACTTTCCGGTCACTTTATCTTCTTCTCTCTTTAAAAGAACAAAAGCAAACGACAGAACGAATATCAAGAAGTACCATAGTCTGAGTAGCGCAACGAATCAACTTTCTTACCTTCCAAAAGAAGTTGTAGTAGTAATCACTGTAATTATTAAATGTTAACTGATAATTTTAAGATATTAAAGAGAACAATCAGATGTACCGATTGTTTTAAGATATTAATAGTAATTTAAATTAACTCTAGTTTTAAAAAGTAGAATTGAACAAAGTAATAAGTGACAGTAAATCTGGAAAAATTTTACATTTGGAGCAGAGTTCACAACCAAATATAATAACATGTAGGACTGGACAGATTATAGTGCAGTTTGCAACTTGTAATGATAGCAGTTATGAGGGAAATCCTTTTCTTAGTCGTCCTCCATTAAACATAAAATGTATGCCGACTAAAGAGATACAAATATCAGCTCCTGCGCCACATTGCTGCAAAGATGATACTGGTTTTCGGGATAAAAATGGTTTTGAAAGGACATTCAGACTACTTGCATTGCATTGTTGAAAGAAAATCTCACAATCAGGTTATAACTCGTTCAGAGGATTGGATAGCACACATATGGGATTGCAAAACTGGTAAATGTATCCAAATAATATATCCACATAAGGACATGAAGTCGAGGTAGTTTTTTTTTCATATGTCAGTTGCATTTACTCTTGATGCAAGTGACAGTTACATGGCTTGTGGAAGTGTAGAACTTGGAAAACAGATGTTTGCTAAAAGGGACGATGCTTCAAAATAACAAAATCAAACGAAGCAAAGCAACTTCAGCAGTTTAAATATGATGTCAACTGAAATCTCCACATTAACTAAAATTGAAATCTTTAACAGGAGAAGAAAGGTCCAATGATTCAACTCGTTCAGAGGATTGGATAGCACACATATGGGATTGCAGAACTGGTAAATGTATCCAAATAATATATCCACATGAGGAGATGAAGTCGAAGTAGTTTTTTTCATATGTCAGTTGCATTTACTCTTGATGCAAGTGACAGTTACCTGGATTGTGGAAGTGTAGAACTTGAAAAACAGATGTTTGCTAAAAGGGACGATGCTTCAAAACAACAAAATCAAACGAAATAAAGCAACTTCAGCAGTTTAAATATGATGTCAACTGAAATCTCCACATTAACTAAAATTGAAAAGTTTAACAGGAGAAGAAAGGTCCAATAATTCAAATATACTGTTCATCATTAATAAGACTACTAATAATATAGTAAATTAACTAATAAAACAGTTCTTAATTTATCCAACTGTAACATTCCCAAACAACTTATGCTGTTTTCTTCTTNTTTCAAAATTAAAAGGAGAAAAATTGCAAAAGTAGTGCTCTTACTAAAGGGATTAAACAGTTGATGAAATTTTACTTCATGGAGAGTACACCAACTGAAGATCTACTTAAAGTCGTGGAGCTGTTGTTTGCGCTCGGTGCCCTCAAAGTGGAGGGTAACTTAACTAAACTGGCTGATAAATTGGCTGAGTTTTCGATGGAACCCATGCTGTCCAACATGATTGTTGCCTGTTACAATTAGAATTGCTCTTCTGAGATAATAAGTGTTGGTGAAATGCTTTCTGTGGGGAATTCAATGTTCTATCATCAAAAGGAAAGAGAAATCAAATGTGCCAATTACGGCAATCACAACTAAATAATAAGAAGATATGAAAAGGAGCGGCAGAAACGTACGTTTAAATAGAAGTGAGATACATAGTCGAGGCACATAAATGACATTCCTGCATTGCAAGTTTGTTTCTGGTGTATGATCGAGTATTAATAACTTTGAAGGCAGCAACTGGCAACACCAAGATCTTGTTAGCAGCCAAATAAGCAATGTGCTTAAAAATAATTAGACAATTTAAAATAAGGAAACAAAATAAAAGCAGTTAAGCATACCTAATGAAGTTGTCAACTATTGTTTCTGAAGTTTTAAAAAGTAGAATTGAACAAAGTAATAAGTGACAGTAAATCTGGAAAATTTTTACATTTGGAGCAGAGTTCACAACCAAATATAATAACATGTAGGACTGGACAGATTATAGTGCAGTTTGCAACTTGTAATGATAGCAGTTATGAGGGAAATCCTTTTCTTAGTCGTCCTCCATTAAACATAAAATGTATGCCGACTAAAGAGATACAAATATCAGCTCCTGCGCCACATTGCTGCAAAGATGATACTGGTTTTCGGGATAAAAATGGTTTTGAAAGGACATTCAGACTACTTGCATTGCATTGTTGAAAGAAAATCTCACAATCAGGTTATAACTCGTTCAGAGGATTGGATAGCACACATATGGGATTGCAGAACTGGTAAATGTATCCAAATAATATATCCACATAAGGACATGAAGTCGAGGTAGTTTTTTTCATATGTCAGTTGCATTTACTCTTGATGATGCAAGTGACAGTTACCTGGATTGTGGAAGTGTAGAACTTGAAAAACAGATGTTTGCTAAAAGGGACGATGCTTACAAAACAACAAAAATCAAACGAAATAAAGCAACTTCAGCAGTTTAAATATGATGTCAACTGAAATCTCCACATTAACTAAAATTGAAAAGTTTAACAGGAGAAGAAAGGTCCAATAATTCAAATATACTGTTCATCATTAATAAGACTACTAATAATATAGTAAATTAACTAATAAAACAGTTCTTAATTTATCCAACTGTAACATTCCCAAACAACTTATGCTGTTTTCTTCTTCTTAAATACTCTTTTCATTTTATTTCCTGACAATTGTGCATTCGGATCTTCTTCAACCATTGTTGTCGCATTATTTATACCTATCTTCGCAGGTGTATGTGCAACATCGATTAAGTCGTTATCTTCAGTGCAATCCTGCATATATAAAATACAAAATTAGTGTAAAACAGTAAAGAACATATAGTTACTAAAGATTTATTAATTTATGCCCTACAAATAATTTAATCAACAGAATAAATAATGTAAAAAATATTAATACTGTGTTCATACATTCCTATGGAAAAAACAAAGTGAATATCTACAACTTTAAAGTTATTAGAAAACTACTCCAAATCTGAAAATTTATTAAGAAAGAAATCATTCAAGATATGTAAGTAGCTTTATTGTTAAAGGACAATTTAGTTATGTATTTACCTCGCATTCCTTCTCTCCATCCAACACTTGATTATTACTGAAGTCAAGTTCCTACCAAAAATTAATAAATAAATGAGTTTGAAATTATGATTCAAATCATGCAATGTAAAAGAAATTTGCAATCTAAATATGCTATGAAGTTTGTGAACAAATATGACATACAGTTAAGTCATCTGAAGGTTGATCAGAACTATATTTGTTTATCAGTTGCTCCTCATCCGTAAGCTTAACAACACTGTAAACTTCCTTTTGCAGATGAATGTTCTCTCTCTTGACAATAACCTTAAACATGAATTTTCTTTGGAGAATATTGTTCAGCTCTACTGGATAGGGATACTTATCAACAGCGACAGTATTCTAGAATGAAATGTTGAGTTACAATTTTGCAAATAACATATTTAAATTTAATTAGTTGATATACCTCAAGAAACCCTTCCTTCAATTCTTTTGCGGATTTGCCTATGAGAAACATGGTTTCACGGTCCTAGAGCAATAGAGAAACAGATCCAGTAGTATCCAGTACCCTAACCTGAAGCTTGTACCTAAATGCACATTTGATTTGAGATATAAATGTAATATTTTGAAGGATTAAGGAAATATAAATGTAATATTTTGAAGGATTAAGGAAATATAGATGATGGTTTTACCTAATAACTGCTGAGTAATCTTCATGTTTACATTTGGTGTTTGGGCATTGATAAATGTTTCCTACTTTATCCACCTTCTTTTGACACTTCTTGCAGCTGACGTACGACCATCCTTTTCCAAGTTCTAAATTTTCTATACTTGCGACAATCCAACATGGACCTTCCTGTTGAATAAATTGATAAGACAAATGTAATGAAAAGACATAGAGAATATGGTCTATCAGAATATCAAAGAAAAAACATAAATGTAATTTAAGAATTTTTCATCTTCCAAATGAGCAAACACTAAGAGAGAAGATAAATATAATGTAAGAACTAACATATTGTAAAACCTCAATAACTTTTTAAAACCATAAAATAAGAGAAATAAAGATGTGCATTTTGCCAATTTTAACATGAAACACGAGTTAAATTAATACTACAGAAGTTAGTTCACTCACTTGCATGGACTCCACTAATTGGCCAATTGTTTTAACTTGAACAATGCCCTTCTCCAACTCATCCGAGACAGAGTAACTTTGTTGAGAGATGGTTTGAGTCAGCCTCTCGGAGTTATTATCCCGAAAAGTAAGTAATCTGTATTTATAAATGAGTACAACAGTTAGATGTATAGTTGGAAAATTGGTGTTCAGTATAGAAGCAGTAAAATTTTATATATGTATATATATATATTTTGAACCGTGTTTTAAATTCGTCAGATTGAGGGAAATTTGGATTAATCCACAGCTTTGCGCACAGAATATGAATCTACAAAACAACGTTCGTGTAAGATGTAATGATTAACTTTCGCAAATTAATGTAAAATAGAGTAATTGTATTTTACCTTGAAATTTATGAGCTTTTATGAGCTGCATAACAACGATAATAGGTTGGTTGTTAGAACTTAGCAGATGAGGTACAATTTCATCAACAAACTCGCCCCAAAATGTTGCAGACAACTTCTTCCTCCTGTAAAATAGAAATAAGAATATAATTTTAGCATATGTAATTATCAAATCAATCCTTAATTAGTAGATGAATGTTTATTCTTACTCGTCATCTTCTAGTTCAATATCCATAAACTTCCTAGAATTTCCACCTTGGGTTTGCGTGTGGACCTCACTGAAATTGACAATTTCTCCGATGACATCTAAAGAAAACGAAATTGTTAAAATAAATAGTAGAAAAGTTCATAATTAGAAATGTAGCTTAAAAGTAATATTTACCAAATAATTCAGTCTCGTTCACGTCAACCTTATTTATCAATTGATCATATGGTCGCAAATCAAAGATATTCATTGGGAAAAGTGGATCAGTTGTTTCAGTCACTGTTGTCCGTTGAGTAAACGTCAGCCTCAACATATGTTTCGTGCTGTTGAACTTCTCCTTATTATGACAAACGATAAAGTTCGCCATATGATATAATCCAAGCTCAGTAATTTGTGTTTTGAAAAGATGCAAAACTGACTTGCCAATAGAAGCACTTATCCGATCGCCCTACAAAAAAATAACATTAGATAACAGAGAGTACAAAAATATATTATTAATAGTAATTTAGATTAACTCTAGTTTTAAATAGTAGAATTGAACAAACTAATAAGTGACAGTAAATCTGGAAAAATTCCAGATTTGGAGCAGAGTTCACGACCAAATCTAATAACATGTAGGACTGCACAGAGTATACTGCACTTTGCAACTTGTAATGATAGCAGTTGGTTGTATGATAAAATCATAGAACAATTTCGAGGAGCAAAACAAATGTATCTATAATCATATAACAATTCCGAAAAATAAATCGAATTAGCAAGGTAAAAACATATTTAAAATACCTTTTCATCTTAATTGGAATATTCAGATCATATGCAATTCAGAAGGGAGGATCATTTGAAGGAGATGAATTTTCCTCCCATTGCTTTCGAAAAATACTTTGCTGCAGAGTGCAGCCTAACTCATGTATACTACAGTTTGTTAAACAATTTGAAGTAGCAATTACTAATGTAGCCTATTTATGTTTACAGCATATAAAGATCGAGAAGAAGTACATAGCAATTTACAGGCAAATGTGAAGAAACTCGTCAGAGTAAATTTTAGGCTGAGCACAAACGGGCATAGCTAATCGATCAACAACGGCGGAGATGCATCAAAAACAAATAATCATATAACATATGTAAAATACCTTTTCATCTTGTAAAACCAATTCAATCGACAATATAGTGCCTGGATTGAAACGATCCGGTACTTCCCACAAACGAACAACACGAACTTTCAACTTCCATTGCATCTTCGAAATTGTTATAGCATTGATGAAATCAATGTGAGTAGCCATCTTTTGCATAAGCGATAAGTTTTGTTGAAATCTTGATAGAAGAAGGAACTTTAGAATTGAAGAACGTATAGTTGAGGAAGAAATATAAACTCCTCTACGCTTGAGCAGTTGATAGGCAGTATACGAAACGTGGGCTAAGCAATTGAATCCATCGTGCTTTTGCAGAGAATATTTAGGTTAAGTTGAAGGTAAAAAGTAATTACCTAATATTGTGGAGTAAAAAGTTTTAACTAATAAATTGTTTTAATAATTTAAAAAAATTAAAAAGCAAAGATAATTGAAATAAATTTGAAAATTTTAAAATTGAACAGAAGTTGGAACGGTTTGGACTCATGAATGGTTTGAAATTTACTTCCTAAAAATTAGGAGGTTTTAACTAATAAATTGCTTTAATAATTTTTAAAAATTAAAAATTGAGATAATTGAGAGGAGTTAGAACGGTTTTGACCTAAAAGATTTTGAAATGCACTCCTATTTGTGAGGTAGGCGGCGTTTTTTTTTACAAATACAATGTTTTTTTGAAATTCAATGATTTAATAAATGAAAAAAATTTGAAAATTTTAAAATTGGTCAGAAGTTGGAACGGTTTGGACTGATGAATTGTTTGAATTTTACTTCCTACAAATTAGGACCAATGTCTTAATATGCCATGTGTAATTTTATTGTGCTGCCATTTGGCTTCATGAGAGGCCTTTTTCTTTAGCTTTTAATTATAGATAGATACATATTTAATTTCTTGTTTATCAATCGGTATTGAATCAAATCACATATCCAAAACCACAATACAACTTTAACTGTTACTCAAATTTTAGGGTAAACACTAGTGAAGGACGAAAATTTAGTTCATATGATATTTTCT